AGTGTCCCATGGGCTTTTCGCAAACTTGCCAGTTTTCTTCAAGTCCATTCCGGTCTCTACTCTTAAACCCAGTGTTCTCGAATAGCACCAAGAGCAATGCCCTTCAGATCTGGGCTCATTTACATCATTCTTCAGCCCTATCTTCTGTTATTTATTGCTATTCAGAAAACCCCTGAGCCATATACCATAACAAAAAAATCTAGATTCTTATGGCTGGAACTCGTGCCTTTCTCACGCCGGTCCTTTGCTCCTGGTTCTAGTTTTTGTCTTTCTCCTTCTGCTGTGCTCTGCAGACAGCACTTCCTAGGTGTCCATGTCAGGCGGCTTCTTGTTGGTGTGTCCAGTGGGAGGTGCTGGTGGAAATTTTGGGAGTGGCAGATGGGGAGGAGGAAGACAAGGAGAAGCTGGCTTGCTTGTCCCCTGTTTGTCGTGGGCGGGGTCTCCTGCACTGGCTGTACCGCCCTGTTATCTCCAGTCCCTGCCAGACAAGCCCATCACTGTTCCAGGAGGCAATTCCACCCCGGGCCCTATCATTACCATTTCTTCTTTTTCATTTAGGAGGTTTGCAGCTCCCTGTCTTTCATTGCTAAATTCTGGGTTGCTCACCATCTGTTTAGATCTTATACCAACACCTGTGTAACAGTGCCCCATAGTAAATTCTTCCTATTCCCGGTAAGTTCATTTCCCCATGGCATTCTGACTGCCTGTCCTAAATATCACTCGAGATCTTTTTCTTTTAACAGTATGGTTTCAACATCATTAGTAATATAATGTCTCACAATAACAGATTATCTACAGGCATCGTAAAGTGTATGATAACTGGGTCGGTCATACAATAAAAACCATGACTTATGACATACAGTGTATTCATGTTGATTGAACTTAAAACATATCACTCTAGTATCAATACAACAACACAAAATTGGATTTTTCCTGTCTCTCATAGCCTATACTAAGTCATTTATAAATGCACCACATTGCACTTACAATTCATCGGAACTGCACAGATCGATAAGCTGATCCAGCCTTTAATAGCTACTTATTTACCCGCTATACCTTATAAGACTGACAACTACTGTTACTATTGAGGACTGATGTGCTTCTATTTTAATCCATCTTTAAAAAGATCGCATTTATCATTGGAAGATCTCGAGTCCCCTTTCCCCACATTTTGAGAGTTATAAAAAGTATGTCTCTAGAAACTTTGAATCACAGGGCCACGTCTCCCAAAATTTATTTAGACTCATATGGTTCAAAGAATTTGGTACATGAGTGAACAACATTTCATAGACTATTATAATCATTTCTAACTTGAAAGATAAAGAAAACCAAGTTCCATATTTTTTTCTTAGTAAACAACAACTTGTAAGATAAAACAGCACATATAAAAATCTTATAATGGTCAAAAAAATTTAATATTCCCATTCTTGTTAAATCTTGCCTATTTAAGATTTTAAAAAAAGTGGAGCCATTTTAACATCTATTTTCTTGGATGCATCTTATACCTGATGAAGTCACCTTACCTATGGATGAGTGAAAACAATGTGGACATGCCCTGAATCAACTGGAAATTGATAAGGTGGTGGCCAAAATAATGGGCTTAGACCTTAATTATAGAATGCAGGGTGTGAAAGAGATTCTGCTGTTGAGGTGCTCACATCTTATCACTCAGACTTTCCCTATGTATCACAGTCTACCAACTGTAATCCCTATATTTCTTTGACAAAGGGTTTTCTCTTGATACCAGAACCTCATTTCTGCTTGTGAGAGGGATGGAAGTGTCAGAAAATGACTTGTACCACTCCTTCACCCCCCACAGAGCACCAAACCAATGTTTCTTAAGAGCTGGGATGTAAATACTTCACCTCATTCCTGCCTGAGGTGAGATAACTCCCATAGTCTCCAGCCTACCATTTCTTTCTTCCTTTCTTTCTTTCTTTTTTTATTGGCTGCATGTGTCTCTCCAGCCATGCCCTGAAAAACTCGGATGGAATGTGTTAGATGATGGTGAACTTAACTAAGTAGGTGGCCCCAGTCATGGCTGCTCTGCTGGATGTGAGATCTTCATTAGAACAGCTCAGCAGGCAATGCTGGCTGGCTGATGTTTAGGTACTGATTTGGCAGATATCGATTCTTTTCAATCTCCATCAGAAAAATTGGATCAGTTTCATCCACTTTGAATGGACAGAAATAGACATTCATTTTCTTCCTTAAGGTCATACAAACTCCCCTGCTCTTAGTCACAATACAGGTAAAAATTTAGTAAAGACATTACTTTTTTTTTCTGTTTATTTAAGCTTTTGCTCACAAATGCTGGATGCCACTATAAACCTGATGAATTTGAGATTAATCACCCTGTGCATATCAGGAATATATATCAATGAGAAAAAATTAAAAAAGAAAAAGTGATGTTATCAAATTATTGCCTGTCATTTAGGCAATTAAGATAAAATTTCCAGAAACAGTATCATACAAGATTGAAAAAGCGCAGTACTTAACTTGGATGAGAATTTAAGATAATGTGCTATTGAAAACTGTGATAGATGACTCAAAATTTGGCTCTAGTGATGACAAACTACTGATAACAAAATGCAGAGTCTGAGTAAAATTAACTTATAAAATGTGAAAATAGAAAACTATCTTTTTATAGTAATATATTACTTAACATAATATTTTAAAACACGTGTGTAGCTAAATTTAAACATAACAGGTAGACATGTGACTATTAAAAGTTTTGTTGTTTTTTTTTAATGTATATATTCAAACCATTCATGATGAGCTTTTTTCATTTCTCTAGCTGGCTCAGAAATGGTACAGTGGCATTTCCACTCAAGAGCTTCTTACAGCTAGGACGTAAGCTGCCTCAGACAAGTTCAAGAGGCACTGTGTTACATTTGTAACAACTACCCCTGTTTGACTCACAAGCCCTATTCCCCTATTTGACATCGAAGAGCAAGATCCTTCCTTGTCAGTATTTCTTTTTTTTCTTGAATTCTCAGCAAATCATTGTTGTGCGAGGCTTCTTATAACCAAGCTTTTCTCTGCCCAGTCTGCTAAGCATGTCTCCATAGATCTTAAAATTAATTACAAATATGGCTCATTTTTTTCCTCTAAGAATTCCCTCAGACTTTTATGAATTGCAGCTCTATCCCCAAAGAGATACCTGTTATTATTCTATAATATAGTACGACCTACTTACCATTTCTCTGTTTTCAGATGTTTAGTTTCCAATTTTTTGCTATCATAAATTATAAGAAAAAAATCTATGTATAAGTTACCATCACCAATACAAATCATTTTTCTTTTTAAATAGATTCTTGAAAGTTCGATTCCTAAACCTGACAATATGATCAAGTTCTTGATACTTGTAAACACATCTATTTTCATTTTTACTACA